TGCATCCTTCGAAGGAGCCAAATGTGTGCTCCTTGAATGGGTTACCAAAGTATGCCTTAAGGTGAGTCTTGTAAATCCTTTGAATGGGCCATCAAATATGTCCTTCGAATGGCACACCCAGATATGTCCTTTGAAGGGGTCATGTATGTATCTTTGAAAAGGCCAAATGTGTCCTTTGAATGGACTATGCAATTCTTCGAATGGGCTAGTAAGGTATATCCTTCGACAGGGACTCCTATGTATGCCCGTCAAATCTATCAACCATGTGTGCTGAAGGTTGTCAAGGGTGGAATTGAAGCATACTAAAGGAAAATGTGTCCAGTTGAAGCTAGTGTAAACATAGCCAATGCCCTGTCGAAGCCTGCATGTAGGAGGTCTAAACTTTGTGACTCCAAGCAAACATACAAGGGGCCAATGCTCAAACAAAGACTTGCATGAAGGGAGCCACATGCCCAAATGAAAGAGGCATGCTAGGCTGGCAAAAATGCCCAAACGAAAGAGGCATGTAGGAGGCAAAAATGCCCAGATTCGAAAGAGGCATGCAGGAGGCAAAAATGCCCAGATTCGAAAGAGGCATGCAGGAGGCAAATTGTGCAATTGAAGGATGCCAAAAGGAGGCTTTTTGCCTTGGAATTAAAGGAGGCTACAGTAGGCTCTTGGCTTGTACCTGCTGGCCTGGTGGGCGCCTCTTGTGTGTAAAAAAGAATCTATGGATCAATCGAAGGTTGCATGCAACCAGTCATCAACTTGTGAATCAAAGCAAGCATGGAGAGATCAAATGTTCAAACGAAAAAGGCATGAAGGCAACCATTGCACTGTGAATCATGTAAGGCCAAAGATGCAATTGAAGGTGGCATGCAGGAAAGTCCTACCTTGTGAATCAAAGCCAGCGTGCCAGAGGCCCACGCCCAGTCGAAGGATGCAAGCCAAGCTTGCATCAAAAGAGGCCAAAAGGCCAATCGAAGGAGGTGAATCGAAGAAAACTTTTTTTTCTTCAATTTTGTCAAAAATATTATTTTTATCTACTTTCCCCTTTTTTAACAGCTTCCTCTTTAATTTGATGCTGAAAAATCCAATTGTACTCGTGCAAGCTTGAATTTTGAGAATCCTTATGAGAAATGCCTTGAGAAATGAGATGGCAAATTTTGGGGTACAACACATGGGCTATTAAAAATAGAAGGTGCTCTGCTGGAACCCTCACAGACAGGAAGTCGGTTTGATAATGATGGCATGACATTGCTTCTTCGGTCTGAACCAAGAAATCCCTTAAATATGATTCAAAATGGGTCTTCTTTTATCGTTGATCAGAGATTTCTCTATAAAAAATATGAATCTGGGTTCGAAGAAGGGGAAGGAGTCTTCGACCCGCAACCGCTAGAGGATGATTTATTCAATCACATACTTTGGGCTCCTAGACTGTGGCGCCCTTGGGGCTTTCTCTTTGACAAAGGGTCTAATGAATTGAGATTTCCCTATTGGGAAGGGTCATTTTAGGATAAATCGGTCCTTAATGATTATGATGAAGAGGGTAAGCTCCAAGATAATGATAATGATTCGCAGTTCTTGCAGGATGGAATCATGCAGGATCAAACACGAGCGATATTTTCCAACGAACAAGGATTTTTTTTAATAAGCCAATTCATTTGGGACCCTGCAGATCCACTATTTTTGCTATTCCAAGAGGATCCTTTTGGATCTGTATTTTCACATAAAGTATTTTCTCCAGATGAAGAGATGTCAAGGATACTTTTGACTTCCCAAACCAAAAAAGTTGATTGTAAATATCTAAATAAACTCTGGTTTAGGAAGAATATGCAAGAACATAATTTCAAATTGTTGATTGATCGCCAGAGATGGTTTAGAACCAATAGTTTAGTATCAAATGAATTTTTTTGTTCTAATACTCTATACGAGAGGTATCAATATTTATCAAATATGTTCCTATCTAACGGAACCCTATTGGCTCAAATCACAAAGACATTATTGAGAAAAAAATGGCTTTTCCCAAACGAGATGGTTGTGAGCATCTGTTCCAATAACAAACGATTGGTTTAACTGAATAATGAAATAAAATAGATACTTTCTTTCTCGTCGTCTCAATTCGATATTATGGGATCTTCTCAATTGAAAGATCCCCTAATATTGATAATCCATATTACCGTTGACCGAACCTACTTGTTTTGAAGCAAATAAAGAGATCCATAGGGTAATTTGTCCTATTCATATATTCACGACCAATAAGTACAAAATTTTATTTCTTTTCGGATAGGTCCTATCCTAAAAGGAGAAAGAAGGTTGACATAGGCGGCTATTTTGGAATTCATCCGACCCGAGCGTACAATACCCATTTTTTTGAATGTCGAGTGCCAAAGTCATTGAATGGGTAAGTCACCAATCTCTAAAATCAAATATATAATGTGCTTTATCCGTTGGTTTAGGGTAGAGGGATTGTAGGTGGGACGATTTCAAAATGTACTCTCCATTCATTAGATAGATAAGATCACCAAAACTTCGTGATTTGTTGGCGAACTTATTCCAATCCAATTTCAATGAGAGATCTCAATATTATGCCTTGAAGAGGACTCGAACCTCCACGCTGTTTAGCACGAGATTTTGAGTCTCGCATGTCTACCATTTCACCACAAGGCATCCTTAAAGTGAATCATATTCTCTGAATATGATATCTATCTTATGGAATATATTAGGAAGTACAAAAGTAGATTTTTTAAGTATTTTTATTGATCCTGATGTGATATAGGCTTTAGTTGGCCATACAATTGGTTCAATTTGAATTAGCCGAAAGCATGGATATCTTATTCTATCAAAACAAAATAAAGAGACAATTAAACCTATTTATCGATTCAATAGAAGCTAAAAAGAGTGATCATGGGTGATCTAAGGTCACAAATAATGATAGATATGTAAAAAACAGACCCCTACCTAATTCCCCAAATGGAATGAACTTATAATCCTGGAATCGATTCGATAATCCGATTATAGATTATAAGTTCATAACCTTAGCCCATTCCCATTTTGGGGTGGAACAGATCTACTAATTATTTAATTTCAGTTAGTAAGATAAGAGGTCAACTAAGAAAGAAATTGTAGAAGCTAAAGCTAAAAAAGGGTATCCTGAGTAATTTCAATAATAGGGTTCATTAATATTCCTAGTATAGTAGATGCTATCACACATATAATCATACTAAATTCAATCGAATTGTTTGATCTTATAGGAGACCTTCTATAATTTCGCATGTGAGGAGTTATTTCTTGGTTTCATCCAATCATTAATAACTTAATTATTTTTAGATAATAATAGATAGAAACAACGCTTGTAAGAAGTCCTATTGAAATGAAGAAATATAGGCCTGCTTGCCATCCACACTAGAATAAACAAAGTTTTCCGAAAAAACCTACTAGTGGAGGAAGACCTCCTAAGGATAAGAGACATAGGGCTAAAGAGAGAGCCAAAAAAGGATCTTTCGTGTATAATCCGGCATAATCTCGAATGTTATCAGTTTCGGTACGTAAACCAAATAACACAATGCAAGCAAAAGTTCCTATATTCATGGAGATATAAAACAACATATAAGTTATCATGCTTGCATATCCACCATTTGAGTCTCCAACAATTATTCCAATAATTACATATATGATTTGACCTATGGACGAACAGGAAAACATACGTTTCATGCTTGTTTGGGTAATAACAATGAGATTCCCTAATATCATGCTAAGAATAACTAGGATTTCTAGAAGAAGATGCCATTCGTTTGATGAGAAATAAAAAGGAATATCCAAAATTCTAGTGGCTGAAGTTGAAGCAACTACTTTTGAAGTAACATAAAGAAAAGAAACGACTGGAGTGGGAGAGTCAGAGTCGAAAAGAGGATTCCTCACTTCTTTCTCTCATTCAAAATCGTGCTTGAGATTTTCATCTCACACGACTCCTAAGTGATAAAAGAAATAAGAAGATTGTTTCTTCTTTCTTTTTCTTTTAGTATTTCCTTCTTCGCGTATGTATAAGACCTTTGACTTTTCAAAAGGATTAGTAATCCTGAACTTTTCGAGGAATCCTTCACCAATGGTTGTGAATGACAGATTTTTCTCAATCTTTATGACTTGCTCCTACGGAACCTAGGTTGAAAAGATTAAAAAATAGAACCATCTGATTTGATTCATTCTCAATAGCCACATGATGATCATCTTAAGGTGATCCTTTTGTTGACGGATGCTCCTATTATACTTGTAGTCTCTGAAGGATGAGAACCAACTATGTAACATCTATATCGAAAATTCAAGTATTGTATACGTCATTAGTATGATCCTTTGTAGGAACTATCCCTAATAACCTACTTGTAAAAAGAATTTGTTTATCATGTTTATCATAAAGGGATTCGTTGTTCCTGACTCTGCTTCACCTAAATTGTTATTTTAACAAGTAAAATTATGTCTTGGTCCGAGTGGGAATATCATATCTCTTCTGCATGTCCATAGAATTTTGAAAAATCCAAACATCTCAGAAATAGATAGAGAGGTCGGTCGGAATTTCTCGAACGAACCACACTCCTTCATATACGTCAGGAGTCCATTGATGAGAAGAGGCTTGGGAAAGCTTGAACCCAATCCCTACAGTGATGCATATAAGCGCAATTAAAATTCCTGAAGAACTATACATTTATGTATTGATAAAATCATTCACTATTTCTTGAAGCTCTATCTCTCTCCCAGATGAACCATATAGCCAAGAGAAACCATGAATCAGAATAGAAGAGCTTACGTCATGGTGATAAATAAAAAAAATAATTTACTATAATTTTATTTGTAAATTATAAATAATTATAAAACATTTTTTAATTTAAGAAATTTTGTGTATATAGAGCGGTGTAAATAAAATTGTCGTGAAGGACAAAGGAGATGGTTTTAATAATGGTGGAGGAAGAGATGTGATAAAAGGAGGGAGGCAAGTATATAGGAGGTATGAAAATTGGGAGAGGAAAATGAAAGAAAAAAACAGAAATATGGTTGCCATTTCATTATACAGAGGGAATCTTCACCGAACACCAGATGCGCCTCGTCGATGGCTAATGCCAAACCCTAAAATCTCTCTCAAAGATTTCAAATCCCTTTTAGCTCGTCGTTCAAAGGCACTCTCTCGTTCTCAACCCAACCCTAACCCTAACCCTAACCTTCCATCCACCACCACAAACCATAAACAACTTCAACTTTCTAATCAACCGCCGGAACTCGTTGATTCCAACAAACTGCTTCATGGATCCGATTTTGAGATTGGTGCTTTCGACAAACCATCTCACGCTGCTGCAACTTCCATCCAAAAACATATCCACCCTGTAAGTTTTAGATAATTGAAATGCTTATACAACCCCGCTATTAGTTTAAATGGTTCTTGCATTGTCTGCTTCCGCGTTGTTAGTTGCGTTGTTTTCGTGCTAGGTTATTGGGAATGTGGATCTGCATAATGATAAAGACAAAAGGAAAAAAGAAGTCGAGGACAAGTTACAAGTTTTGAATGCCAAGAAACATAGTCTGGTGTTAGTTTTGAAGCAGGTAAAACTTACAATTTTCTTTGCTTTGTTTTAGTGCTTCTGAATGTGCGCCCGTGTGTCCTTGCATTTTATAAATGATAGTTTGGCTACATCAATTAGCAGATTTTAAATGCAGAGGAGGATTTGAAGAGACGGAATAGTTTGCAACATCAAGGGGTTCTGATGCGTGGCCCTTCTGTTCCGCCTAAACCTGATGGGAGCAATGATACTGGTTCAGTGACCAGGTATTTGGCTCTCAGGTTGGGCTCTGAGGGAAATCTTGGTGACCTGGATGGTGTTGAAGCGGATGATTTTAATAATCATAATATTCAGCATTCTCAACTTGTTCTTCGGACCAGTAGCATGTCCCCTTTATCAGAATCCCCTCTTAGGAGGACTCCTAGTCTACAACAGAACATGGTAAAACATGTGCTTTATCATTATTTGTCTTGTCACATGTTTTTCTGTTTTTGAACTCTCTTTTGATTCTTTATATTTTGAATTGATACTACAATCAGTGTTCTTTTGGCATGAATCTATGAATATTGAAGTATAGGCTTCAAGTCGGAAGATCATCTATGACAGACTTGTTAGTGTTTAGTTATGCTTATTCATGTCATAGATTCCCGAAAATACATAGAACTGATTTATTAAAAATTTAAGAGTGTGTGATCTGCTAGCTCATTTCCAAGAGCCTAAGCTCTGAAGAATTCCTAATAGCCTCTCCCCATCTGTTTCTCGAAATCCAATAACAGGTAACCCTTTCTAGATAATCCTAAATTAAAATTTAAAAATAAAACTGTAACAATAGCAGATATCTAATCATGTTATTTTTTATCTCTCACTCTCCAAACCTTAGGCCCACGGCTGGACTGTAGCAGCACAACATCCCACTAGCTAAACCCACAAATACTTACCAATTATTAAATAGTACCTGGTGCACTGCACTGTTTTAGCTCTGGTAGTTGCACTGTTATCAAATAGCAGTGCTGTGGCCGTTATGGCGGATATACATGGCGGTTTTTGGGCTTGCCACAATGGTAAATATCGGCGATATTGTGGGTTTTTCCGCCATAAACCGCTATAGCGGCGCCACAAAGCGGCCGGTATGGTGGGATTTTGGCTCTCCGCCATCAACAACACTGGGTAGTTGTATTAAGCACAAAAATATGTTCAATTTGTAATATTTGATTTTTACGGTGGCTAAATTGAATTTGAGTAATGTACTCTGGTCTAATGAATTTTATTGTTATAGTACAATGCTACAAACTAGCTTCTATTATAATTTGTGTAGTTTTCTCAGCTACATCCCATGCTACTATATATATAATTGGTTTGCATGAACAATATATTATTATTGCTTAGTTATTACTTTTTCTATCAAGGTTTCAAACCCTGCTCGGGCAAGTTTCGCATCTGCTGGTAGTCCATCATGCTTTGCTCACTCAGGACAGCAGGGGAATCCACCAAACCTACCTTCCGCGTCTGTGTCAGGAACTAGTTACATTGCATCATCCCCTTCTCCAGCCGCATCTGGAGGTACTTCTGTTTATAGAGATGCCCAGCACCCAAGTCCATGGAAATAGAACTGTTTTCTTGTAACAATGTCAATTAACTAACATTGTTGATTTCTGTACACTCTGGCTGCTGCACATAATTATCAGAACACGCTATACTAGTTGTCTCTATGTACTGAAAAATCTGTATATTTTTTTGTCAGGGTACATTTTATGGCTAAAAGTTATTATATACTAAAAAGTATTGCAACACTAATAATTTAGGTTGTATAACAGCAGGTTGAAGCTGTAAATTTTAAATACTGATAAAAAGCATTGAAATATTCAAAAACCTGTACATCTATTGGGGTCTTGTGTAAGACACTGCTATTCTCTTTTTCTTAGTCCTTTGACAATGTCCTTATGATCTATAAGCTACATGTTATATAATTCTTTTTTGTTAATGAATGCTGCATAGAATAAGTTACCCAAATACGATGAGTTGTTATGCGGGATAACCAACTTTATGTGCAATATTGGTTAGTTATATCATTAAAATCAAAACCAAAATTAAAGAAAAATGTTTCAAACCAACTTTGTTCCAACAATCTCCCTTTTTAATGTGGACAAATATATGTATTTTGATTAACAATTTATGATTTTTAAGAGATAATGAATCCTATCTGGATCTCTGCAGCTGCCGCCCTGCTATAGATTTCGAGGATTTCTTTTTTTACTCTATGTTCTTCTAGTGCACCACACGGAATCTGCAAAATATTTTTAAAAATTGAAAATATATTTCCGGTACGTACATACATATACATAATTCATTCGTTTTTGAAATTCGTTCTAGTTTACGATAAAATTTATTCTAAAAATACACTTTCGGTTATGAATTTGAATTTGATAAGCCGCTGCATTACAGTTTCAGGTAGCAGCCATCATAGCGCCACATATGTGGCTGAATAATGGTCAAGTATGATAATATAATAAAGTAAAGGAAAACATTTAGGTGCATTTATTTATATATGATATATATATATATATATATATAATATTCTTTTTTTACTCCTTAAAAGATATTTGAATTTATTTGTCATATTTTTATTAGAGTAAAATATTACATATATAAAATTGTATCTAAATATTTTTCTAAAAGTAAATAATAAAAAAATTCACAATACAAACAGAATAATAATAGTAATAAACTAATTAAAGTGTAAATATCATATACACGACTAGAGTTGTCAAAATGGGTCCGGTCTATCGGATCAGTTTATAAGCCCAATAATTTAGTGTGGTTCGGACCTCAAAATATGTTAAAAAACACGAGCCTATTTTTTTGGTCCAGCCCATCGGGCCTATGTGTTTCATGGGCCGAGTCGGGTCAAGCGGGCTTTGGGATGACCCATTAAAAAAAGATTTTGGTAAATTTTAGAAGAAAAAAGATTGAGATAAGATATAATTGTATAAACATGTTTTCAAGTGATAAAGAAAAATTAAAGAGGATGAATATATATTTTCAAGATGATGTGGTCAAAGAAATGATTGTGAGATGAAGAAACAATTTGATAAGCCTTAGTGATAATATTAAGTTATTATGTACTTTATATGAATGTTTTTGTGGTATATATATATATATATATATATATATATATATATATATATATATATATATATATATATATATATGGAGGTTGATTTGATTAATATTTTAAACATCACTTACTAAGTTTATGATGACTCTCTACTTATGTTATATAGCTTTTATTCATTATATTTTTTTTTATAAAATTAAAACTATAATATCGAAGTACAAATCAGGCTGGTCCATCAGATTGCATGAGTCTTAGAAAAACAGATCAGACTCATTTTTATAACTTATTAAGCAATCAAGTCGGGACGGACCAATCCATTTAAACATGTTGACCTACTGAACCAAAGTAGACTGGATCGGACTGATCCACTTGACAGCACTAAACACAACTAAATATATGGATCACTTGAACCGGTGCAAGAATCTCTTGAGCAGATCTAAAACATATAGAAAATAGTAAACACACGCACTTAACAACATTTTAAATTATAAAATCTCAAGGAATAGAAAACAATGGTCGGATTCTATAATCTAAATATAACTCGCAAAACAAAAAATTCACAGTTTGAATAAATATGTACTAACTGTAAGAATATTATTAAATTAAATATATAATATAATATGACTCATATAATTTTTTTAAATTTAAATAATATAACATGTATAGTAGTGTTATTCAAATAAAGTAAAAAAGGTGTTATATATATATATATATATATATATATATATATATATATATATATATATATATATATATATATATATATATATATATATATATATATATATATATATATATATATATATATATATATATATATATATATATATATATATATATATATATATATATATATATATATATATATATATATATATATATATATATATATATATATATTATTTTGGACTGGGCCTGCACTTGACCCAAACATCATACAAAGTCCAGTCCAACTATGATGCAGGAGAAAATCAACAGGAGAGAATATGCCCTTGATCATGTTGGACAGTGATTCCACTCTTTTCGTCGACCAGAATATATCCTCTGGGGACAACTCCATGACTGACGGGGAGGGCCAATGACGCTCATGAGATACTTGCGAACACCCTCGACTCATCTCGTCGATCAGGATATGTCTTCTGAGGACAATCTCACGACATGCGAGGAGGACCAACGACGTTCAAGAGGTCCTCGCGAGCACCCTCCTCGTAGGACTGTCACCCGCCACCTCCGAATGTCACAGAGTCTTCTTGACCTCGAAAAGACCGCATCCACATCCTTCTAATAATTCAGAGTAGACCCCGAAAAGACCCTCTTGGTCGCCGCCATATTCGACCACGATGTACGCTTCCTTCCTCGTATGGCTAAAAGGACGTTGACGAATCGGTGACCGTGTCCATCAAGTGGACACCATCGTCGATCCACTTATTTCTTCTACCTCGACCTGCTCGGGTGTCTCGTTTGGTTCAGCCATTTCACCTGTAATACAAAGGAAACTAGTGAATTCGACAGCCAAATCAAATTCATCCTTCCACCGCAACACAAGTGAAAGGGGGTTGCTACGACCAAACCAGGTCGACAAACCCTCATTCAGTAAAAGCAAACAAACTTGCAACCGCCACGAGGAGAACGTGAATTTCTCGAGTAGCCTCGTGAAGGTGACGAGGATAAGATGGATCTCCCAAGAAATCCCATGAACATTGCGAGGAGGGGGTGAATTTCTTGAGCAATTCCATGAGGTATGCGGGGAGGGGTAGAATTCCCCGAGCAAATTCATGAGTTCTACAGAGAGCAGATGAATTTCACGAGCAATTTCGTGAGTATCAGGAAGAGAGGTGTGAATATCCCGAGTAAAAATCCCCCGGGTAGTGAAATTCGTCAAGAAATCCAAAATATTTATCAAAAAACCAACTATAAACGACAATAATCACTGGGAAATACTTACTTGATGAAGTTTGGTATAGAGTCGACAACGGAAGTTACGACGACGCTTACCGTTAGAGAAGGGAATTGAGGACGGTGAAACTGAGGACTCTAGGGAGAAAATAGAGAGGAGAGTTTGGAAATGTTACAAATGAGCCCTTAGGCGCTATTTATAGGACTAGCGCGAAAGACGAAGCATCGCGTCGAATAACATATCAACCGCCCATCTCCTCGCCGCCTACGCGCTCAGGGTCATAATGACCTCTACTCCCAAGGCCATTATTTTATTCCAAAAGCTACACCACGTGGCTACATCCTGCGAACTTTCGTCTTCTCGCGGGTCAAGGAGAAACTAAATATTCTTTGTGAGCAAACTCCAATCTCCGCTCGAATAGTCGCGTATAAAAATGACCCCGTTCCTCGACGTGGTAGGAGACCCTGACGAAACTATGCTCACCATACAGGGAAGTTAGTATTATGTCATAACTCCTTTTCTCAGGAGACACGACTTTGGGGGCTCCTGTTCTGGACTGGGCCTGCACTTGGCCCAAACATCATATAAGGCTCAATCCAACTATGTTGCAGAAGAAAACCAGCAAAAGAGAATCTGCCTTTGACCATGTCGGAAAGTGATTCCACTCTTCTCGTCGACCAGGATATATCTTCCGAGGATAATCCCATGATTGGCGAGGAGGGCTAATGACACTCAGGAGATCCTCACGAGCACCCTACATTCCTCTCATGGATCAGGATATGTCCTCGAAGGAAAAACTCATGACTGGCGAGGAGGACCAACGACGTTCAGAAGGTCTTTGCGAGCACCCTCCTCGTAGAGCTGACACCCACCACCTCCGAATGTCACGAAGTCTTCTTGACCCCGAAAAGACCGCATCCATATCCTCCTGATAATTCGGAGGAGACTCCAAAAAGACCCCAAAAAAACCCTCTTGACCGCCGCCATATTCGACGACGGTGTACGCTCCCCTCCTCGTATGGCTAAAGACTGAGGCTATTCCTCGGGATTTCTGCCCGTCCCAGGACAATGACGGATCAGTGACCGTGTCGGTCAAGTGGACAGCCTCCTCAGCTCCACTTATTTCTTCTACCTCGACCTTCTCGGGTGTCTCGTTTGGTTCAGCCATTTCACCTGTAAAGCAGAGGAAACTAGTGAATTCGACAGCCTAATCAAATCCACCCTTCCACTGTAACACAAGTGAAATGGGGTTGCTACAACCAAACCAGGTCAACGAACCCTCGTTCAGTTAAATCAAACAAACTCATAGCTGCCATGAGGAGAACGTGAATCTCTCGAGCAGTCTCGTGAAGGTAACGGGGATAAGATGAATCTCTAGAGAAATCCCATGAGCATTGCAAGGAGGGGATGAATTTCCCGAACAATTTCATAAGGTATGCGGGGAGGGGATGAATTCGACGAGAAAATTCATGAGTTCTACAGAGAGCATATGAATTTCATGAACCATTTCGTGAGTATCACAAAGAGAGGTGTGAATATCTCAAGTAAAAAATCCCCCGGGTAGTGAAATTCGTCAGGAAATCCATAAGATTTAT